CCCACAGTCGTCGCTCTCGCCGCCGCCGCCGCCCAGCATCGCCGCCGCGCCCGCCGCCGCGTCCGCATACAGCCCGCACAGCTCGCGCGCCACCGAGAGCTTCCCGCCCTCAAAATATCTCGCCACCCGGTTGTATCCCAGCTCGGCCACGCTGCGCCACATAAGCGCGAGCGCGCGGCCGCCCGCGCTGATGCGGTGCGCCGGCACCGCGGGCGACGCGGAGAGGCAGCCCTCTGACAGCACCTCCCGCTGCAGGCCGGCCGCGGCCGCGGCCGCCGCCGACACGAGCGCGAGCGCCGCGGCGGCCGCCTCGCGGTGCGATTCGTCGAACGACGCCGCGAGCTCGGGGAAGCGCTTGCTGTTGCCGGCCGCGCGGGCGTCGATCTCATGCATTAGATCGACCGCCTTGCGCGCGACGCGGAACGCCATGCGTACCTCCTCCTCCCCCCAGGGCCGCGCCGCTGCCGGCCCGCCGGGGGTCGAGGGCGCGGCGGCGGCGGCTGCGGCGTCGTCGCCGGGGCCGGCGGCGGCCCGGAAGCCGGCGGCGACGCTGGCGGCAAGCGCTGACGCGAGGCGCAGCAGCGCGGGCTGGAGCTGCGCGATGATGTCACTGTGTGATGGCGTGGTGGGGCGGGGGGCGGCGGGCGAGGGCGGCGGATTCGGCGCCGATGCAACAATTGTGGCAGCACCATGATGCCTCGACGCAGTCAAGCCCTCTGTCCTGCACAACAGCCCTCAACACACACACACACACACACACACACACACACAGCAACACACACACTCACCTCAGCTGCCCCCCCAGGTCGAAGCTCTGCAGCAGCTCGTTGTGTGTTCGCAGCCCCCGCGTGATCTCCTTGGCGCGACGAAACGCGACCTCCAGGTAGGTCGCCATCTCATCCCGCTCCCGCCAGCCGGCCAGGGCGGCGGCGGCGGCGGTCTGCTCCGCTATCTCAACAGACAGGTCCGCCGCCTTGCCGGTGGCCTCCTGGGGGGTTTGAGGATTGAGGGTTTGGCGGAGTTTTCGAGGTTGCGGGGGAAGTGCCGGTCCGAGGCGTTGGATCCGGTGTCAAGCATTCAAATAATCACACAAACACGTCTTGCACCCATCGAAGCGAGACACTGGAGGAATGCAAAGCAGCGGCCCCTTCAACCTGGGTCGTCTGGGGCTCGCATTGTGCCAGGCGACGACAGCGCAGATGCCAGCCGGTCGCCTCGTCATCTCAAACACGCGTCCCCCCCTGTTCCCAATCATAACCACCGGAAACCACCGCCGGCCCCTGCCCCCACAGAACACCTGCAGGGCCACTAGCAGGTCGTCCTCCGACATGGCGCCCCCCAGGACGCTGTCTAGGGCCTCGTGCCACCGGCTCCTGGGGTTTTGGATTTCAGGGTTTTTGGGGGGCGGAGAGTGCGGGAGAAGAGGGGTCCAGGGGCGATGCATGAATCATAGCAATCAAGGGCAAGGCGAGAAGAAAGGTGGGTGCGGGTGGCACCATGCGCGGCGGTGTATTGATTGCGGCCAGTGGGCTGCTGGTGGGATATCGGGCCCTGCCCTGCAGAGCTGGGCGGCACGCCGCCGGGCAGCAGGGCTTGTGCTGGCGCAGCAGCAGCACGGGTATTGAAGTGGCCCCATCCAACTGCAGCGCGTGCCCGCGCGGCTGAAGCGGCCGCCTGGATGCAACCTCGCGCCTTGGACTCCGGCCGTAAACCACCACCACACGCCAGTTTAACCGCCGTCCAACCGCCGCAAACGCCGCCTCACCTGACGACCTGCAGCTCCTCTCGCGAGTGCTCCGGCCCCAGGCACCCGCTGCTGCCGCTGCCGACCATGCCGCCGCCGCCCCTGCAATCGCCGCCGCTGCCGGGGTGCATCGGCGACCCCAGCCCGCTGCTGCTCGTGCGCCGGTGGCGGGGGTTGCTGTGCTGGCGGCGGCCGGCGGAGGACGCGCCGCTGCGGTCGCCATGCAGCAGCAGCGCCTTGTAGCTCTTGGAGCGACTGTGTGTGTGTGTGTGTGTGTGTGTGTGCGCGCGTGCGTGTGTGTGTGTGTGCGCGCGCGCGCAGACCAGGTAGGGTGGAGGCAGCGTCCGCTGCATCGGTTGCGAGACGTTTGTGACATCGAGAGGGAGGAATGCAGAGGGCGCAATCAACAACACTCTTGCTAACTGCTGCCGCTGTTGCTGCTCCTGTCGCTGCTGCCGCAGCTGCTGCCGCCGCCGCTGCCACATCTCCGGATGCTGGTGGGCGCTAGCCGCAGCTCGCTCGCAGAGCAGAAAGCGACGGCAGCACAGCTGCCAACAGCCTGCTGGCTAGCCACCAGCCACCACTGTCCCCCCAGCTTCCGGGCGCGCCGCTGCGCCGTTTGGGCCGGCGACAAGCACCACAGCAACACAAGCGGTAGCATTGGGAAGACAACGCGATGCCACGGCAGCTGTGGGCCGTGACAGGACTGCCAGCTAAGATGGGCAGCCCTGCATGTGCCGTTTGATGGCAGCATGCATGGCAGGGCAAGGCTTTATCGAAGTGCAACCCCGCCCCAAGCGCTGTGGCCGCGCACCTCCGCAGCAGCAGGCCCTCCGCTGGAGAGCGCATTGGGGTGTCGCCGCCAGCGCCAGCGCCGCCAACGGCCCCGCCCTGCTGCTGCTGCTGCTGCTGCTGCTGCTGCTGCTGCTGCTGCTGCTGCTGCTGCTGCTGCTGCTGCTGCTCCTGCTGCAGGTGCGTCCCCAGAGACGCCACCGCCGCCGCCACGTCAGCACCGCTGGCCGTGGAGCCCGCCGGCGACGCGCACCCGTAGCCTGCCGCCGCTGCTGCGGCCGGCGGCCGCGGC